GCATCAACCAATCAAATTGCTTATCTCTGCTTACCCTAAGCGGAAAATGCTCATCTTCGAACTCCATCAAGGCATTGACCTAATAAACACATACACCAAGTTTGAACATTCTAGCTCAATTAGGAAGAGAGTTATTGTGTCCCAAAAAGTGTGACGGACAGACAGACGGACAGACGGACGAACCCATTTTAATAGTCCCCTGCTTTCTTCGAAAGGCGGGGGACAATTATAAACTAGATACGATTTGCGGTCCTTGCCCGTTTCAATGTGGGGAAACTGTACCTACAATTGTTAGAAATTCCCCTCCTTCGGTATTTCTTCAACATTCCCAAGGGATGGGGATACAAAAATAAATGTTGGCGAAAATAGTCCCCCAAAGACATCTAGATAAATGGCAAAAATGACGTTTCATTTGTGGCTGAAACGAGAACTGCACACATTAATTTTTAAATTCACAAATACATTTGTTATTAATTGCGGAAGCGGGTAAATAACACAGAAAGCAAGATTATAAGTAACAAGATATATGTCCATTGTTTTGTTATTTTCTAATAAATAAAATGTGAGTTTTATCTACGCCGGGAAAATTGTCGATTCATTGTAATTCGACTTTTCCCAACGGATGTCGGCAATACCGAAGAATGGACGATATTCAACAAATATGCAATTCATTCGAGAATTTTAGACACTATACTCAGATTCTAAATCTGAACATAAGTTTCTAAAATTGGGAGACAGAAATTAAATATTTCACACAAAAACAAACGCCTTAAGTTTCTAGATGACACTGGGCAAACTAAATACAAGACATGAAAATTAAACGGCATTGCATTACTCCTCACCCGTAAGTTACTAGACGGCTCTTGGTAAAGTGATAATTTGGCATAAAATCTAAACGCCTTAAATAATTAAACACTCTGTTCATTTCTTGACAACGTCTGGGAAAATAAACACCTTGTCTAAAAACTAAACCCCTTTCAAATCTAAATGGTAGTGTTCATTTCTAAAAAAAACATCCCGAGAAACTGGACGGTCGTAAAGCAGACGATCGTTGTCAAAAGTAAACAGTGTTTCTTAATCTACACGGTAGCACAAACTGGGCGGTTTTTGGTGAATCTTGACGGCATTTAACACATTCTTGACAGCAATCTATTAGCTGGATACGTGTATTATTAAATTCTTGACAATAAGCTTAGTTTCTTTTCTTTTTTTCGTAAAGTCTGGACGATACCCGGGCCCTAGTGGCATGTCAAACGGAAGTGACAGGTAAATAAAGTAAAGAACCGTCGGACGGCAAAACATACACTGCCTTTTTAAAATGTATTAAAATAAAGTCCTAAAATAGATGGTATCTATAAACAATCCTATCTTGTTAAAGAATAATCCTATAATTCACTATTGCCAGTTGAGAAATGGGCAAAAATATCATTTTCAACTTCAAATTCAAACGTTTGAAGATAGCTATTCCATGTTGAGGAATAGAAAACAAGGGAGGTAATTGTGTTATTATTTCCAGTGTGAAGATTTTTAAGTGTGAGAAAGATCGTAGAATAGTGAGTTGACAACCTATTGAGCAAAAGACATAAAAATTATTATGTTTTGACTTTCTCAGAAAATATGAAATTGTAACTTTAACTTAAGTCTGAGAATGCTTTTTGAACTCCGGGCTGACCTCCATCGGAATTTGCTAGCCCGCTGCCAAGGTGGATCTATGTACTACTAGTAGTATTAGTAATACATTATACCATTCGTTATCTCGAAACACAGAGGGTTGAGAGATGGGGTTCCTTATAATTACCTACTCTACATCCATGACATTGTCATCCAGTCTAATTGGGAGAGAGAGAAATGGGGTTTATGTTCATTAGACAAAGACAAACTACTGTATGAACCGTGGTAAATTATAAACAGATTTCTTCGATTGTGAACAAACTACTGAATAAATGTTATTAAAAACTTGCCTATGTGTTTGAAATCACTTCCCGTTGAATAAAATCCATGGCACAATTAAATATCCCAACGAAAAAAATAGTTCTCTCTTGAAAAGTCAATGTTTTTGCTTGTATTTTCGACAGTCTCCATCACAACATTGCACTTGTCATGTGGTGAGTTAATCCATCGTAATATTTTGAAGGGGGGTAAAGATTGACAATTTTTAACAATCACGTGTGCTGCTATCAGAACAGCACACAACCTTTTCGATCGTTTGAGTTTGGGCAACAAGATTAGGAACTAAAGACAATAATATTAATTCGGACACAATTAATTGATTGTCAGTTGATAGGCAACTTTGCGGCTAACATTACAAATAAACACACTTTATTTCATAATTTTAATTGATCATATTTCATAACAGGGTCTAATCCCAATGCTCTGTGGTTATTAGTCCATTTACAAAATTTTATGATTACCCAGTAAAACAAAAAAAAACTAAAAAGGTCACCACCTGTTAATAATTTCCATATAAAATTCATGTTTCGAATGTTTATGTCAATAATATTCCTGATTAAATTACTCTTTTTTGTTTATTCGACAAATACTGAAATCGAAACATTCTTGAATAGAACAGTTCGGGGTGTCTAAATATCGTTTGTCGTCTTTATAAAAATGTATTTAAAACAAAAAAAAAATCACTCATCAAAAGAGGAGCGCAGATTGCGTGTATTATTGTGTGTTAATTCTGCAGACCGTGGGAAAAACTCGTGAAAGTTTGCGCCAAATTTAACTGTTTTCACTGCATCTGTGTAGTAATATACAATAACTCATATGGCATGGTACCTTTTACGGTAATAGAATTCAAAGCGTTGAAGGCCGAGGCATGATCGCGATCTACAAAATGCCATCAGGAAATAGTAAAGATATATAAGTGTGAGATTCAAGACCTGTAAAACGAATGTCGTTCTTTTTTTACTGCACCTGTGTTTAAAAGAAATAATCACACCCAACTCTCTAACCAAATAATTAATACAAGACGAAAACAAAATAACGAACTACGGGCGTATTTATGGTTGTAAAGGCCCAAACTCATGGGTCCGAGAGCAATAGTGTATTCAAATTAAATTAAATACCGTTACGATATAAACAAGTCTTGCTGCGACCCCCTTGTACGAAATGATCTATGCTGATAAGTGACGTAATTAGCTTCCATGTTTGTATTTCTAGATGTCCAAGTGTGTGATGAGTTCAATTTTACAAGAGTAGGGTGACCCACCATAAATATCTCCAAATATCTCGACAATTATGCCACAATATTTATATATATGCCAAGCCTCAAATCAGTTTCACACAATTATAGTCTCTAAATAAACGATCATGTACTTAATTAGCTATGACCATTAATCATCTATAAATAATAGACTGAAAACTGGTTCCAAATGTCGTCCATAACATCCAGACACTTTTGAGTAAAAAATAGGTTACGTGCCCTTGTTTTGAAATTAGTCTCGCTTAACCAGTCTATCGACCATTCTACGTCTGATTGAAAGGTCGGGATAATCAAGACTACTTTTTTTACGAAACATAACAGAAAGCTAGAACAAGAAATTGAATTTAGAAATAAGCACTTTAGACAACTCAACAATTGTTTTAAGAAACTTGTAAAAGTAAAATGAAACTACTGCTAGTATCATGTTCCTGCTAAAGAAAGTGATTCAGAGATAGTATTTGTACTAAACCAAAAGATGCCGCTCTTAACGATGCAGTTAATGATAAAGCAATTTAAAAAATAAAACAAACGTAATTTCTAAAGCTGCTGTAATAACCAATTAGTTAAATTTTACTGCTATTCAAAATCGTCAACAATAGATTTTTTACGGCTGTAAAAGTTGATATATTTCATTGTAGAGAATTGAACGTGCCATGGCTATTTATCGACTCAAAGAGAGTGCGGGGTAGTCAGAAATCAGTTCGAGACACGCAACTGAAGCGTGCACATTTAGCCGTGTCGAACCAACTTTCTGTAGAGTGCACGGGTCACCCTTACAAGAGAGAACTTTTTTATTCGCTGGGATATTTAGTTGTGCAATGGATTTTATTTAACGGGAGTTGATTTCAAACACACAGGTAAGTTTATAATAACCAAAGTTAAGCAGTTTGTTCATAATCGAAGAAATGACCCTACTTCTTGTTATGAGAACTGGGGATTCGAAACCACGCCAGATGACTCAATGACAGACCTAATGATACAGCACGCACGTGCTGACCATTCGCCATTCGGCCATCCAACCCCCACATCGGAATATCACTCCGTCTACTTACTTGAGAGATTAACGTCACAAGCAACATTACAATGCAGGATTTTAGCTTATACAGAAATAAAATATTAATCGAAGAAATCCGTTTATAAAATAGGAAGGTTCATACGTCAGTAGGTCATTTCGGAACTAACATATACGGTTCAATTTTATTTCAATAATTCGGAGAAACCCACAAGGTTGGACAGGCGACCCTACTTCTTGTTATGAGAACCGGGGATTCGAAACCACGCCAGATGACTCAATGACAGACCTAATGATACAGCGCGCACGTGCTGACCATTCGCCATTCGGCCATCCAACCCCCACATCGGAATATCACTCCGTCTACTTACTTGAGAGATTAACGTCACAAGCAACATTACAATGCAGGATTTTAGCTTATACAGAAATAAAATATATTAATTGATAGAGATCTACAAGCTGTGTACTTAATTCGCTTCTATTTTATTAAATTGTGGTGATTTATACCTGAAATCGACTGATAGCTAATAACATAAATAACTGATCCACGAGGTGTGCTTAATGGCCGTCTCGAAGAGAATCTTGACGTCACACTTCTTTGTGTTGTTTGTTCAAAACTCTCGAGACAAATCATTTCCGTAACATGCCATGGCCATTTTTTTTATATTTAAGTATATGTTTGTACAAAATTGTCATAATTAAATCTTGTAATGACAAACACAAATATTTTTTTTTCGAAGCTAATGATCTTTTATATTCTTTTATGTTTTAGTTTGGAGATTAGTGCGTAAAGGAAGCTAGGCGATCGGCGCGAATTCAAGAAAAGTTAATGGTGTTCATACTTTGTCCGTGCAGATAAATATAGAAACAAAGCCGATCTTTCCCCCCATTACAATGGCAACCACTGACAGTACTAGCAATGAAACGTCAGCGGATAGGTATTAATTTTAAATAATTAAATTAAAGATACTTTATAGGAGATTCGATAACGAGATGGCAGTTTCTCACTATATAAATATAATACAGGGCCAGGGGCGGATCTAGGAATTTTGAAAAGGAAGGGGGGGGGGGCGCCGCAAAATGAGGGCACTGACCGCGGAGACGGGGCACGCCGAAAATTATCCGTCATTTCCCTGCTTCTGTAGCCATAAGTAAACGTTCGGAAATCTTGCAAAAGAGCCTTAAAATCGAGCAAAAAAGCCAGTTGAACATGCGACTCGAAAATTATCAAGGCGAGCGAGGCATTATGATGGGAAAAAGACGAATCTATTCCCTAGCCACTTCACTATTTAAGCCTTGTAACTTATACTGTGTACTGTCCACACATGAAACAATGCTACATCAAGTTGCACTCATGCGCGTCAGTGATGGGCATGAGTGTATACGCCGCCGATTTCACAAGATGCTATCATTGATGTCTGTCTATAGTCACCCTATAGGATTACGTTTATGTCAGCTAAACAAGAATTCGTTTGGAAGTGGAAGCACTTATTAGACCAAACTGGTGTGTTTGAGTCGATGGTTTGAGTCATTTGGGATCCCTGCAACGGGTTGGGAACGGACATATTTGGGTCTGAGAAAAGGGCAGTAAAAAAGGGCACTGTCGAAAATATGGGGGGGTGCGCGCGCCCCTTGCGCCCACCCTTAGATCCGCCTCTGTAATACAGTGACAGTCCAACCAAGGACTAACTAGAAATCAGCCAGATTTCTTCAAATTTGGGAATCTGACCTCAAAGGTTTGTTGAAGAGAATTCTGTCATCAACTTCTCAAAGAACAATAAATTGTAGCCCAATTATTATCTAAGTGTCATATTACACTGCTCTATATTTAGAATGTAAAAGCTGGGTTTGGAATCAGGTTCCATGAGATTTTCAATTCAAATTGAATAAAATAAGAGAATAAGAAAAACTGATCAAATTAAACATAGAAATAAACAAATTTAAAAACAATTTAATAGAATAAAAAAAAATTGATTCAAATATTACATAACTTAATAATAAGCTTAATAATTAGATGTAATATCCAGTCATTGTTTTTTTGAGACGCGCGATCGCTCGCGAGCGCCTGCCACGCACCTGAATGTTGACCGAGGGGAGGTTTTTCTCCCTCGCCTTAAAGAGACAATAACACTCTGGCTGGCTTGACAGCTCCAGAAAAGAGAAAAATAGCCTTATTCTAAGTACTAGATGTGTTAGTGTCTTACCTGATGTGTTAATTATCCATTAAATCCTATCAAGGGAGGTAATAAACTCCAGATTTGATTGACTTCCTGTTCTAAAAATAGCTTTCCATAATGTCATAAGGGGGGATATCCTCAAGTGTTGCGCGGTTTATTGTCGCAAATAAATAAATATGTAATGTCAACATGGGGATTAATATGACTTGGATTACCACACAATTAATTCAAACTGATTAATAACATTCTAGACAGTCTGTCTTTGGTCTAATTAGCCTGAATTGTATATACACGTTGAGGTGTCAATCAGCTAGATCTCTAATCCAACAAGCTAGATGTTACTCTTTGATATTCTGAGGACGTAACATCTAACATCCGAACGGTCAAAAGCTTGTCGCAAAAGTTGATAACTAGTTTACTTCTTTCAGCGGACGGCACAATTCACAATGTTAAGTTATCTGCACTGCTAACACATTAAACTTACATATGGGTATTGGAACTGCCACGCTGCTTCTTCCTTCTGTAACAGCTATTGGTAACGACACCAGTAACAGTAATGACTTAGAACTATCAATAATAGACCTAGATCAGCTAATGATGATTACATGCAAAATCTTTAGTAAGGTTGCTAAGAGTTCGCTGAAACCCTACATCAAAACAAATCAGAATTAGAATACTGGGATTAGTTCAAGATTCGCATGTAATCATCATTACCTGATCTAGGCCTATTATTCGTAGTCATTACTGTCACTGGTGGCGCTACCAATAGCGGTTACAGAAGGAAGTGGCAGTTGCAATACCCATAGCTGCAGATGATGTAGTAGCACTAGCAGCAGATTGATGATGGATGTAAGCAGCACTACCAGTAGCTGCAGATGGTGTAGCAGTGGGAGACATGTCACCAAACCATATAAAATAATTTACTAAACTTATTTTTTAATGTACTATTTGCAGGGGGCAACATTTGTAAAATTTTCTGAAACTGGTCCCAGTCAATCCATCATCCGGAGACTCGATACAAGAGATTTTTCAATTGCCCATATACGTTTGGGTTGATATTAAGAATATTTTCAATCTGATTAAAACACAGATCCTATTTGGTTTCGTTTTTATAGTTCAAAATTTCGTTTTACTTGTCTTTACTACACTAGGATCTGAAAGAGTTGTTATCATTGACATGTTCTGAATTCTGTGAGGTATTAGCCAATGAAACGGTCTGTTACGGCGAGCTTTAGACATGTTTTGCACGGAACTGTGGGTAAGCCCCTAGAAGCACTAATGCAGATTGGTTAATCAAATGTCTGATGTCATAGGCTCAACTGCCGCTCGTATGACCTCTAACGTGACCTATCGCAACAACCAGTCAGATCTTCATGTAGTGTAGGTCATAGAAAGTATAAAAAAAACGAAACGAAATGTAGATCTGTATTTTAATCAGATTGGAATATGTTGAGAGGTGGCCCCTGATAGGAATGTCCTTCATGTACAAATTCAGTTTTAAAAGGCCCAGCAAGATCCATTTTGGGCTCCGAAAATGATCATATGATGATGTTGAATTTTTGACCCTATGCCATATTTTTTTATTTGAGGAACTACCCTGAGGCAGTGTAGTAACTTGGCTCTCTTGACAGCCCATTTCCTCATTATGGGCAGCATAATATTTCTGGCATACATAACATAGAAGAAAAAATTCTAAAATTAACAAGAATTTTTTAATGCTGCCAAAGTTTAAAAAAAAAAGCAGAGAGCTGGCCTTTAGTAAAGGTATTACAGCTATATCAGACTCGATGCACAGCTGGTTTGAGGACTTCTGAAGCCCATCGCTTAACTTAATCAACTGGAGTATCACCGCACAACTGTTTCCTGCTAATTTCAATAGTATTTTATTTCACTTAGCCGTTCCAATAGGTATAAGTTGATTCCAAGTGACACAATGCGGTCTTTGTATGGCTTCTCCTTAGATGTGGCAGCATGCATCCGTTTGGAATATTCCATTTAATGCAGCTTCGTCAAGAAATCAGCTCCCATTCGGTTCTCACATCACTTATTGCTATGTGATGTGCTAAAAGTTGGGCCTTAATGTCCTTCGTATATCAAGCCTCATCAAAGAGATTAGTTTTGCTCGAGGGGGTTTCAAGCTGCTACCAGTGAGCGCGGGCGAATGATTTGGTGAAGAAACGGAGATAGCTGGCTTACCCTGAATGAAAGTAGCTGGCCATTTCATAGAGAATGAGAGATTTACAATAGGGAAAATTCACCAACTTTGACTTATGACTTCGCTTTGATTGAAGAGAGGTGACAGAGATTTTATTTCTTATAATATATCGATAGAGGGAGTCGAGCTGTGCATAAAACCATTTCGATATCTTGACCTACCGCATCATAGAAAATAGAGCTAATCTTCACAGGTGTATATTTTCTGTTTTTTTCACCATATCTTACAATTTTGCTGATCATTGCTCCCAGAGAATAGATGCGACTTCATGGTCTTCACACTGGGGCACAGGAAGACCCCCACTAACATCACCAGTCACCACCATTTTCATCTAAACCCTAGACTCGCCACAATAGGTGGCTGAAAATTGACCAAAAATGACCTGAAAAATGGCAAAATTGGCCAAAAACCACCCAGAGGCTGTTTCTCAATAACGGTGAAATTTTGACATCGGCCCTTCTGGCTATGAAGTAGTCAGGGGGAGTCCATAAAATCCCCCCGAGATAAACTCGATCTGCCGACCCCCATCTTCCCGATTCTGCACGATTTTGCAAGGTTTTCTCATGGAATGACTTTTAATAATAATAACATTTTATAAATAATAATCTCAATCATACCGCCTTTGCTAGAATTTATCACGGCATAACGGCAAAACTGTCGTAAAAAGTAAAAGCTGAAGCAAACACGGACTGCCACGGTAATAAAAATAGCCCAAATAGCCCAATAACAACCATTGGGAACACGAATAACTAAAGGATCGAAAGGAAAACAAATTTCGATGACTTTATTACTCCAAGAGGAATCTGTAAATTTTATACTTATGACAGTACCACCAAAGGGGCATTCCATGTCAACTGTACACAAAATTCGGGCGATTTTGACATGACCAACACAGATTTTGATGATTTTTGGCGTGCAAGTTAACCATGACGAAAGAATGTGATGTGCAAAATTTTAGCGCTGGGGGCCCCTTCAGGGGCATCCCAAAATTTGGGTCTTTTCAGCTGACCTTCAAACTTTGAAAATCCATAACTTCGCCCCTAGTAATCTTACTTAATGAAATTGATATCAAATTGTTCAGAAAACAGAGATTTTTCTAATGACTGGAAGCATGAACTCCACAGAACAAAATCCAAGCAGATCGTGTTTGACCTTGACCTTTGAACCCACGCCCCCGAAAAGGGGTAGATTCGATTTGGCCAATTTTTCGTGTGAACATTGTCCCACCTATAAATTACAAACACAAAAAATCAAAGTGGGATCTCCATGGGAACAGATTTGATGGATATGAAGTCCACCTAGGTCGCAACAACAGACCTCGATTTTATTAGAATTCACTGTAGGTTGTTTTGTGCAAGCTGACTTCTGTACACTAATTTCACTATGGTAACTTGCACTCTGTTTTTGTCACTGGACGATCCATTAATAGTTTACCGACCTCAAATTTTTACCGCACCTCGAGGACAGAATCACAAATTTCCCACGGCTTTTTATCTCGCTTGAAAATTTCCTCGTTGACTTTCAACAGAACAAGTACAGAAAACGT